ATTTCATTTAGCATTGAGAATATTATTTTCATTTAACTTTTTTTTAAGACAGTGCCTGGGAGTCATGAAATAATCATGTTTTTTGTCCTGAATAATTGAAATGCTACAATATGTTAGATGTCTGTGACTCTCCTTCTCTCTGTGTTCATACTGTTTAATGTCAATACAATAATCTCTATTGCCACAATGCTTGTTGTATATAAGATACTTTTGGAAGCTAATAAATATTTGCTCATTGTGGATGATATTCCAATAGAAGGTTCCTACATTAATTATATAATGAGTTTTGCCAGGTGTGGTAGCATACCCCTATAATCCCAGAACTTCGGAGCCTGAGACAGGAGGATTGCCATGAGTTATAGACCTGCCTGGGCTACATAGTGAATTCAAGGCCAGCCTAGGGAGATCCTGTCTCAAAAAAATAAATTAAAAATACATATGGAGAGTTTTATAGTGAATGCCATTGTTGAAGGGCATTGGAGCTATGGAATAATGTGAAAGTATTAATGGGTTTTAACTCAAGTCTTTAGGGTAGCACCTTCACTTGATGCACATTTTCTCTTTTGATACCCGTGAAATTTTCAGCCATGATCTCCAAATAATTTTAAGTGTTCAGCACAATTTAATGCAATTATAGGGCTCATGCCCATGACATAGACCCAAACAGCTACTTTACCTTATCTCTACTTCAGTAGGACATTAATGAAAGGGATGAAGCTGCAGACAGGAAAACATCAAATATGTTGATGCCACCATGCTATGATAAAGTATTGTGAACCACTGATTAATTTTCTCATTACTATGAATAATAATATCTAAATTTTTCCTCTGATTTTATGATTTTACCACATATTAACACAAAACACCACTCATTATGTTTAATATTTCCTCAGTGCAGTTGTATCAACTAATAATCACCTCAGCTGTCAATGCTAAATCTCAGAGATACCAACAACCAGCTTCATTTTAGAGAAATGATATGTCTACATCAGCAAACAAGATTTAAAATTACATCATCAGTTCTTGGGTACCACACATGAATCAGTTTTCATTGTTTCCCAACCGTAAGTAAGTTTAAGGAGAGGTGTGGACAGGTATGCGTACTTTTATCTCTTTCTTCTTTTCTGAATAGTAACAAAATCAAGACCTGATCATAAGTATCATTTTCAATTGAATGGGCCAATTACATAAATGGAGGAGAATGTGGGCAGCTGCAGGGATACACTAGAAAGGAAAAAAAGGCAGAAGGATTTGCTGAGTGAATGTGTGCCTTCTATCTGTGATCTTTTTCTATGATAACAATCTTTCTTCTCTCTTTGCAGCAGTTCTCACCAACTAGTCTGCAATGTCATCTACAAGAAATCCCCTAAAAAATAAAGAGCACGTGGAGCAAGAAATCTCATCTCAGGGTGACAGGGATGAGAAATGACTATCTGAGTTTTGAAGGCAACATCCAGGTGCTCTATGTCTCTAATCAGATAGCACACATTAAATAATCATGGTACCTTTGACTTTTCTATAAAAACTTATAATGAAGCATTTTTCAACTGGAAGCTAAATTTATCCAGTCTACAAAGAACACTGATCTCAGCACCAGACCCTCAGGATTATCTAAATAACAGATTACACATTATGGATAGTTTTTTCATTTTAATTATCATCTGTATTATCAAGTTCATGTGTGAGACCTAACTAACTCCATTTTAAAGTTTGACTCCATCTTAAATATAAGACAGTAAAGTGGCCTTGACATAAATTCCACTTCACTGAAGTCAACTATTCCCCT